ACTTTGAATTTTGATCTTTTCCCAGGCTAGTGATGTGCACTAAGATACTCCCTTGTGATGCTGGCTATCAGCAGTGAGCCACAGCTCCCAGTAAACCCCGAGATCACAGGCATCAACAACGGACACACTTATACCCATGCAACCATTGTTTCTCACTTGCAGTACAGAATTCAGTGTTACATATTAAGTACTTTGTTATAAAATAGGATTTGTGTCAGAGGATTTTGCTCCAGTAGGGTATTGTAAGTGTTCTGAACACATTTAAGGTAGGCTGGGTGTATTAAATGTATTCTCCTTAGGATTTTTCAATGTAGGGTAGGTTTATGGGGCTGTATCCCCCTTGTAAGTTGTGGAAATCTGTATTACTACTTTATTGGATACAACTCAAGGCAATAAAGAAAAAAAGGCTGATACGTCAATCTGCTTAGCCTTGTAATAGTCTGTTTTGCTACGGTGCATGTGTCTGTAGTGCAAATTTGCTCATTGAGTGGTAATTAGGGAAATGATGTTAAAGTGAGTGAGTTGTGTTGGTTCATATTCTTTCCCTCAAAATGTTTTGAAGCCATCAAAGAAGTTTTTTCACCATTAAAGAGAATGCTTTAGGGGCACCTGGATGGCTCAGTCGGTTAAGGGACCAACTCTTATTTTCGGCTGGGGTCATGATCTCGGGGTTCTGAGATGAAGCCACACGACTGGGCTCTGCGCTCAGCAGTGAGTCTGCTGCTCTCCCTCTGCCCCACCCTCTACTCACAGGCACGTGCTCTCTCTGAGAGAGAATGGTTTAGTGGTGTATGAAGACCTCCCCCAACCCAAAAAGTGGGGGAGTGTCAGTTTCATGGCCTTGAGAAGTGCTTTGCTTTTCACAGTATTAAGTGGTGCTTAATACTTACTCAGTGAGCTGCCCATGTGGCTGAAGTTGAGATTTTTCCCTTACGCTTAAGGGGAAAAAAACAAAACAAAACATGAAAAAGCTACAGCCTGCTTTAAATTATTTTGGTAAAATTGGTCCTACTGGCAGTGAATGCCCTCAAGGATCTCAGTTCGTATCTCAAAAAAGGACTTACAGGCTCTAGGTTAAGGCTACAGAGGATCACCTGGCCGACACAGTGGAAGAGGCTGAACAACGTTAGTATTTTTGTTCGAGGCTCTTCGTAGTACTCTGGTTACAAAGCTACATAGTTTTAAGTGGTTAGCCCCTAATGCTGTTTTTCCCTTGAATCCTGTTAATTTTAGTGTGATTTTGCAGAACATGAGTTTTTTTTTTTAGTTACATGTATTAAGGAAAATATATAAATGCCCAACAATAAGGGATGGTTAAGTTTTAAGACAACATCTTGATGGACTCTAATGCATCTGTTAAAATAAGCATAGAAACATTTCTATGAAACAAGTGTGAGAATTAGAACACAAAACTGAGCATCTACATTTCATGATTATACCTGTATAAAAATTTCGTAAGATTGTAGGTAAAATTTAAAGAAAAATTTTTAATGTGTGAAGTTGGTAAAATAGAGTTAAGTTCATTTTAACAGTTTAAGCTAAATTTTTTATCTTACTTTGTTCTAGAATTCCTGGAAAACTCAAGCAGTTCGTATTTGACTTACATTCTGGAAAACTGCACAGAGAATTCCATCATGGTCCTGACCCAACCGATATAGCCCCAGGACAGGTGGGATTCTTGTTTTTCAGTGGGAACTCTTTTCTTTTTCAGTTAGACTTGAAGAGGATCTAAAGCTCTTGTATAGGCTTGAGTTTCTGCTCTGAAAGATCTTTATAATGAAATTCTGAATAGACTCTAAATAATAAATTATGTTCCTTTTAAAATTAATTTTTAAAGTAAAGAACTTCAGAAAAGTTTCAAGAATGATACAGTATAGTTTCTTGGTCACATAAACTGAAGTGGTGTTATGTCCTGTGGAATATGGGTAAAAGATTAAATACTGTTGACTTCAAATACAGAAGGGGGAGGTAAGAATTAGGTAGGTAGATCAGTGAAGAAGTCCGTGGATTCCATTAACTGGTCAAGTCTTCCTCTGTGGCCAGGAGATTGACCACACTACAAAGAAAATAATCATTTGGTATTCTTGCATCCTTCACCAATACAGTATTTATAATGTTCAAAACTTAAGGTTTAATGCAGCTTTTCATTTGAGATTTAGAATGTTTCACAACTATTTATGAAAATTTTGTATTTGCTTTTTATGTAACTTTTAGCCTGAGAATTTGACTTTTCTACCTTTTAACTTCTATTACAAATATATTTCTATGTTCCTGCTTTGTTAAAGCAGGAAGTGTTAAAGCAGTAAAGTGTTCCTCTAAAAATTGCATGTTGATGCATTATTGATTTATATTCTGTCTGTTACCATTATACTGAGAGGGAAGATGATACATAACAAAACTCTTATTTCATATGCCCAGAACTTAACTGTTTTGCCCAAGGAACCTCCACATAGAAAAATAAAATCTAGTTCAATTTTTCCTGAAGATTAAGTTCAGTGTCAGGAGTTCCCTTTAGGAATCCAATGACATGCTTTTTCCTTGAAGTGTGAGGTCAGATTTTTCTTTGATAATTAAGCAACTATAGAAGCAAACAGTTTGTTGGCAATAACCCAAAGGCGATGATTTCCCTCAGGAAAGTAGGACTGCTTAATATTTTATCAGATTAGGAAAAAATGTTAGTTACCATTATTGTATTATCCTGATTTATTTCAACTTCTTCATTAGACAGTGAACTTCTTATATTTTATAGTAATAGAATTATGGCCTAAACCAAACCTATATCTCAGTAAAAATACAAATAAAAAATATATTAGGGAAGGGGAACATGACAAAATAAAATGGGAAATTTGCAGATGTTGCTTTCCCATTAAAAATGGGAATGAGCCAGTATCCAGGGTATGTAACACAGGCACTTTGTGCTTATGTTAACTACAGGGGACATTAAAACAGTGACAGCATGGTTGTTCTTGAGGAGCTCATCATGTGGAGATAAAGGAAAGACTGCACACCGCCTTTTCTTTGTCACTCTTATAGTTTGTGTATTTTTGTCCATTGTTGGTGCACAAGTGAAATACTACAGAAATGAGTTTCTTACAGTATGGAAGTGTTTATTTTCCTATGTCAACTAAATTCTGGTATCCAGGTAATTGCTAAATGAAAGCTCTATCTACAGAGTAGGTGCCTTTAGTACTCTTTGTAGTCATTTTTAAGAAGGAAGGATTTGGGCCAACTTAGTCATGGTTGTGCTGCCTCTACAAAATAACCTAGAAAGCACTTAGGTATTTTGTTTCCTTCCACTACACCTCAGGAACTGTCGACAGGTCCAGAGGTAAGGGCTCTATGGCAGCCTTGCCCTAGAGAGTATTACTAGTAAGGGCATTTGAATGGGGAAAGCAAGATTTCAAACTTAACTCTGGCCTTTGGCACGCGGTAGCTATCTTTATTAAGCAAATAATTACGAAACAACTACCATTCATCTGATACTTTTATTAAAACAGTATAGCTCCATAAAATATATTGGTTATGTTTTATTCTTTCTCTTGCAGCAAGTCCAAGACGTAGCAAGCAGTCCACCTGAGAGCTCCTTCCAGAAATTAGCACCCAGCGAATATAGGTATACTTTATTGAGGGATCGAGATGAGCTTTAAAAACTTGAAAAACAATTTGCAAGCCTTTCAAACAGCAGCATCAACTTACGTGGTGGAAATAGTAAACCTATATTTTCATAATTCTATGTGTATTTTTATTTTGAATAAACTGAAAGAAGTTTTGGGTTTTTAATTTTTTTTTCTCCCCCTGACTCAAAATGCATTGTCATTTAATATAGCCTCTTTTTAAAAATCTGTTAGGGATAAAAATAAAAATCAGAGGCCTATCTTTACATCTGTCCTGTAAAATTTTTATAAATCAAGTGAAAGGTGACAGTACCAGAAACATACCATTAACTTGCACTGCTAGGTTAGGGAGGACTTAGGGATGTCTCCTGTGTAGTATGTGCTTTTCTTTATATACGATCAATTCTGTTGGTATTTTCATTGTCACATTTCTCAAAGCTAAGAGGGTATATATTCTGGATACTTGGGAGGGGAATAAATTAAAATTTTCACACTGTGTACTGTGTTTTACTGATTGGTCGGATATTGCTTATGAAAATTCCATAGTGGTATTTTTTGGATTCTTAATATGTAACTTAAACATACTATGAAGAGGAGGAGAGCCATAAGCCAGAACATTTGGCAGAAATTGTCCTTATGAATTAAGAAAAAGAAAATGAAAAGTGTTATTAAATTTCTTTGTTTTTGTCTAACAAAATGGCATATGGATGGCATTTAAAACTTTGAATTATACCTAAATCTGAGATACTAGTAGAGCAGGTTACCAGTATTGAACCAGATGACTTTTAAGTCTCCTCCTATCATGACACGTTAATTTCCAAAGACAAAAACCAGCAGAGAAATTGTATTTCAATAATTCTTATCTTCTATCTTGTAGAGTCTTGTTATAGTGGTATAGATCAAAAACAAAGACAAGGCACATAATATTTTTAATTTTTTTCCATTGTAAAATTGTTAGAGGACCCTGCCATCCCCTCTAGATTCTCTGATTTCCTAGGCCTGCAGTGTATAGTCAAATGGGTCCCTGTGCCAGGCCTCAATACTGCCAGGGAACAAAACCAGAGGGAGAGGACCCTCAGTGTCATATCAGGAAGCCCAATGCCAGAGGACAGACAGGTTCGAAATTGGCTTTCCTCTGGGCCTGGGTTGGTGCTATAGGCCAAGAGTCATTTTATACTTGGAGTCTAAGTCAATCCCAGTTTGGGGAAAGATTATTTTTAAGCTTAAAAGGCTGACATGTGCCATTATATGTAGTGTGTAATATATGTAACATCTTCCAATTCTTTTAAAATAAAAGTGAATATTTATAATGCATATTTAATGATTGTTATTTAAAAAAAATCAGCCTAGAATTTTTAGTTATGCATGACTTATCCATTTCATTCAGAATAATAAATGTTGTTAAGGTGATAAGGGGCATGTTTAGGATATCTTACCAGACTTTTAGAAAGGCAGGACAGAAATTCCTCAAGGTTGGGTCTTAGTTCTGTTCAGTTCATTGTTTTTAATCAGTAACTCTGAAATCGAAGTTGTAGTCTTCAGGTCAGAGGATGGACCAAATCTGAGGCAGTTAGAATGAAAATTCATGAACATTCAACAGGGCAGCGCACAACACCAAAGAGCAGCATATGCAATTAACTGGAATAAATTTATAATCCTGTAATTGGCTTTAAAAATATTATAAACAAAAGATAACACTCAAATATTGGATTGCAGAGAGCTGACTTGGGAGTGGTTATTATGAAAAAGGCCTCAAGGAACACATGTTCAGTGTGATCGAAGGTAATGGAGTGGCTGTTAAAATAGATTTGATGCTGCATGATTTAGCTTTTATGCATATTGGGACTTAAATGTTTATTGAATGAGTGAGATGCAAAGTGATGTCAGGTAATTTTTGTACCCCTCAAGGGCTTGAGCACTCATCAGGACTGGGTGCCCAATTTTATAAAAGGAAAAGAAAAAAAAAACTCAAGTGCAAAACACCAAAATACATTAGAGAAATTAAGTTTTTGCCATAGGGCTAGTGCATGGCTGGGGGGGAGGGGGAGGGGGAGGCGGCGGCCTGTGGCTAAGAAAATGAGAAAGGAAGTTAGAGAAAGAATGGGAGCTGATTGTACAAGGCCTTGAATGCCAAGCTTAAGAGGTTTGTTCTGTACCTTACAGGCAGTAGAGATCCACTCACAGATTTTCAAGCCAGGAAGTATGTTCATATTTAAGTTTGAGACAGGATATTGTGGCAGCAGGTCTAGATATGATGAAATGGGTCCAGCACAGGAGAGAGAATGGCCAGAACTAAGAGATGGAGAGGAACAGATACATCAGATGACAAAAGATGTAGGTTCCACAGGGATTTGTCACCAGTTGGACTACGGAGAACATCCAGGAATCTAGAACTCACAATTAGACTTCTTCCCCTCCGAACCATGCATGGGAGAATGTCATAGGTGGAAGTCTTCTCATTTATCTAGTCTACTTTGGGCCTCAGGCTCCTCAGCTGTGAAGAGAGGGGATACAAGACTGAACAACAGTTGAGTTGCAAAACCCAAACTAGAAGCAGTCCCTTCTGCCTGTCAACCTGCTACCTTTTCGCGTTTTTAAAAAATTGGTTTAGTAGTAAGGGGGACTACAAAAGGATGAAAACTTTCTCTAGATGAAATTCTAAACATGTTTTTTAAATAGTTAAATGAACCTGAAAAGGAAGCTAGAGGATCGGCATTTAAAGCATTTCATTGAGCTCCATGATGAAGTTGTCAAAGATCACATACAAAGGAAGGAAAAATTGGCATCATAAAGGCCAAAAAGGAGAGTGAGTGTGTTGAATTATTAAAGCTCAATGAGCTTAACTTTGCAGAAAGTGCTAAATTTGCCAAGAAGGCATTAAAAAAAAAATAGAAAAACAGAGCGAAAAGAATAGATGAAGGAGTGTAATGGATTAACAATTAAGAAAAGTAGAATAACTCTTTTGTTTTTTCTCTGACGAGATGTAGTCCAGCAGAGCTAAAATAAAATGACATTAAACAAAAAAGCAAAAATGAGAAGTAAAAACAATCTTGCCACCTTAAATAATTTCAGGGCTCTTTGGACCAGAGTACGCCAAAGAGCTGCTGGAAGTTACAAGTGCTTTCTGTTAGCAACAATTGGAAATCATGAAGAATGCATGGTGACAGAAGACTGGAAATGAACACACAGTATTCCAGTTTTCCAAATAACTACAGTTAAATGGCTTTAATCATTTTTCTAAATAAAACATCTCATGAATCAAACTGAAATGTTAATAATTTTTTTGGGGGGGGAGATTTAAGTAGGTGATAAGAATAAAACAGTAATCAATTTTTAAGCCCAATATTTAAAGACCCTGAAGACAATAAGTTGTTTCAGGACTTAAATTGTTTTATGTGGATTATAACTGTTTTATGTGTTCATTAAAACAGGTTGGATAGGACCTCTGCTTGGCAACTGTTTTTTAGCTGTGTTTGAATTTTTGTATGTATTTCCAAGTAATAAAACTATATTTATAAAATATTTCTATTTTAGATTTTTTACTAATTCGTCATAAATATCATAATGTGAACATTTTACTCTGAATCCAGATGACCAGTCACAAGCTTCTCCAGTTTTTATGTTTTAGATTATTTAATTGTACTTGAATCAGAATGGGAAGCTGTATGAACCCATATGCTGATAGCTCAAACCTGGCCTTTAGTTGAGGCGTCAAAGCTCCCCCTTGCAGAGCACTTTGAGGGAGGGCTGGCCTGCCCTTAGACAATAGGTTTTGGAGAGGAAGAGGAAAAGTGCAGCCTACAAACTGCTTTTCTAAAATTCCCCCTCTCCACCTCCCCTGCCTGGCCTAATAAATTCTATCCGTCCTTCAATGCCCAGGACAGTTACCACCCCGTGGTCCCAGAGCTCTTTATGTATTTTAGAAGACCCAGTCTAATACACAGTTGGAAGTACATGTATCCCTTTCTCATACCATGTGAATGCCGTAGATGCAGGAACTCCTCTACCTTTGTATTCACAGCAATCTAGAGCACTGTAAGATCAGTAATTCTTATGGGAAAAAAAAAAGCCAAATTACATAATAAATGAACAAAGGACAAGAAAATATCACCATTAACTAGAATGGACTCTGTTCCAGGAAAATTATTAATAGAGGCTGTCATTTTTTTTTTTTTAAGATTTATTTATTTGACATAGAGACAGCAAACACAAGCAGGGGGAGTGGCAGGCAGAGGCAGAGAAGCAGGCTGCCCACAGAGAAGGGGGAGCCCGATGTGGGACTCGATCCCAGGACTCCGGGACCATGACCCAAGCCGGAGGCAGTCGCTTAACCAACTGAGCCACCCAGGTGCCTGAAGCTGTCATTTTTCTCAAACATCTTACTCTAGGGGCACCTAGGTGCTGCAGTCAGTTAAGCATCCGACTCGATTTTGGCTCAGGTCGTGATCTCAGGGTCGGGGGGAACAGAGCCCTGCATGGGGTTCCGCACTCAGCAGGGAATCAGCTTGAGGATTCTCTCCCTCTGCCCCTCCCACTCTCTCTCTCAAAGAAATAAATCTTAAAAAAATACCTTGCTGTAATAGCAAAGCACTGCTAAGAACTGCGGCTCTGTTGTTTTTGCCAGCTCTGGGCCAGTCAGACGATCATGTGCTTGCCCGTCTGTGCTGTGTCTCATTTTACTTATTGGGACGGGTGACGGGAAGGAAGCTGCATGGCCACTCTCTGATGCCATTTGTACACTTGTACATGACACAGGGAGGACCAGACCAATCTTGGAAGCCTGATACTATGATTGTTTTCTTGCCCTAACCACTGCCCAAAAGGGCATCTATTCTGATTGACCAATTCTTCATACCTTCATAATGAGCATGGCTTTCCAATTTAACATACTGTTTAATAGTCTATTTCAGAATTTTACTAGATTATAAGGTAAATTACCTGGTCTGTGGCTTCTGAAATAGAACTTTTACCTCTTAAATTTTAGACTTTTGCCCAAGCTCGGTGTTCTGGCACCTTTTCTATTTTCTGGTCCCTCAGAAATTACTGGTAGTGCTTTACAATCACGTAGATCTACAAGTTCCCACTAACCTTAGGAGGATGCTTTTTATCTAAGCCTAGAAACAGTAAATTCTTTTAACACATGGATGCTTTTCTGAGGGGGATGGAGGGAACAGCTCCGCACTTCTTTTCATTGCCCTTATAGGTAGGGTGACCATGTAATTTTTTCATCCAAACCAGGACATTTGAGAGTGAAAGGAAGCATTAGTAATAACTGCCCTAGGACAACAGATGTAAATCAAGACTGTCCCAGACAAACTGGGATGTATCACCACCCTATTCCTACCTGGCCCTGTTCTACATTTTCATGTTTGGGTATCATTCTCACCAGAGATGAAAACAATTTACTCCCAACCAGTCATCTGTCATCACTATACCACATTCTTAATAATAAGCCTTTTTAAAAAGTCATTTTAAGAATTCTCGGTATTTCTATCAAGTCTCCACTCATTATAGGTGTCTCCCTAACATTGTTCTTGTAGGTCCATGATACTTTTTCATTAATGGTGCTGGTCCTTTAAACTTTGGGGGGAAAAAATAATAACAATTACAGGAACAGTCACCACTTATATTTGTACAGTTACCAGGAGCCAGCCTCCATTCCAGACACTTAACATGTTATTAATTTTTTTCATCTTCATGACCACCCTGGAAGACAGGCACGGTATCAACAGGGAAGGGGAAGGCTAACGAAGTCCTGAGTTGTTGACCCTCACCCTAACCCCAGTAACAGGCAGCAGTCTGGCACCAACAATTAAGCCCAGAGACGAAAGAAAGGAACTAGCGTCCATGAAGAATTTAAAGTGCCACGCACCTTACTCCTTTTCATTCCTATCAACTGAGAGGCTGTTTGGTGGGAAAAGTACATGAACTTGGGTACTGGAGACCTTGGTCAAAATCCTGTCTCATGCCTACCTCTTAACTTCCGCTCTGCCCTTTCTTGATTCCAGTCCCTGCCTGCCTAACAGCAATTACATTCCTGCTGCTACTCCGTTTCAATACTAGGCCATCAGATTGTAAATCCTTCTTGGGTGCCTACTGTTCTGACCCCGTCAATCCTATGGTAATACAGAAGATAAACCCAACATTTCCATACCATTTCTTCAGTGATTCATGTCCGTATCTTCTTTAGGTCAAGACTTTTAGCTGGAAAAAGAAATATCTTTACCTCCAAATTCTTCATTTTTCAATTCGTGGCTCCTAAGTCCTGGAGGTGTTTTTCAGATTTCTTCTGTTGCATCACTCAGTCCTAGGTTAATAGACAAAAGTGAGTACTGAACAAAGTTTTGAAATGCCTTAGGAGACTTTTTCACATTTCCATGCATATCCCCGAAAGATGGCACCACACACATGCTAGGACATCATTCATTATGTGGAAGTCACTCTTGGGGGGTATTTCTTTTCCCCTTCTCATCACTATATTTCATGCCATAAAATATTCCAAGAAGATGATATAGTCCCTGCCCTGAAAGCAGCTTACAATCTAGTTGGCGAGATCACACCACCACAAATCAAAGTTTATAGCTATGAAATTAAAAAACATTGCAGAATTCGCCACAAGTGAATGAAGCCAATGAATTGCAGTGGTTAAATACTGTAGAAATGTAAAACAGGACCATAAAACTCTTGGACACTAACAGGTTAAGTTTCATGACTATTTATTTTCTCAGTGGGTTTTCAATAAATATTTATGGAATGACTAGCAGGACAGGAAGAAAGCAGGCATTCAATATGAAGCAGGGGATCTCACAATGGAGAGACAAGAAAGCACACATCACTTCTTGCATGTGGGAAAGGAAAGCAAATATGCCAAATATACCGAGAACTCTGGCAAAGGTGAGGCAAAACGAAGAACTCCAAGGGTTCTAACAGTCTTATCTGATAGAAAGCAACACATCGACTCCTTTAAACAAAGAATTAAGTTAAAAACACGTATAACCACCCTAGTCTATATTTCCATCCTACCAGCCTCATCACTCACAAGTTTAATTCCTTGGTTTTCTCTGAGCACACTGCTCTTTCATGTTTTCAACCCTTTGTACATGGAATTCCTCTGCCACCTCAAAGCCCACAACTCTTGTCTTCAGTCGGCCATAACCTTCTTTCAGGTACTGGGAAAGGTACATGAACTTGGGTATTGGAGACCGTGGTCAAGATCCTATCCCATGCCTACCTCTTAACACACTGTTAAGAGCCTTCCCCTTCTCTTCCGGGAAGCAAATCACTCCATCTTCTGTGCCCCTTCATCCTGTTTATTCCTCTTTTAAGATACTTACCACATGTTACTGTGATTTACCTGCTTTACGTACCTGAATTCATTAGCTTGAATGATTTACAAGGGTAGATTCTATAGGTCTAATATTTTTCTATGTATGGCCCTGGCATGCAACACACAACAGGCATTCAATTCAAGGTTTGCTGAATGAATTTATTGCATGTTTCCTTATACAAGCACCACTCAACAACATAATGAATTCAGTAAGCTTTACAGAATTTGTAGAATTCTCACCACTGGTCTTTTCTTGTGCTGACCCTTGCTAACATCAAGGGTTTAATAGGGGGTTTAATTAATGAAACCCAGGTAAACATCTTTTTAATGATTAACCATAATTCCAAGAAAATCTCAAGTACTTGAGAAATGTATGAATAACATGTACTCTTGAGTTGTTTTTCTCAAATATTTATTAGTCAAATTTCTCACAGGAGCTAGACAATAGTCCATTCAAGGCTGGAGTATCTATGCTGCTGAAGAAAAATCCCCATGCTCTGGCTATCAGAAGCACAGGTGACAAGACTGACATTGTTTCAGAGGTTAAGAAATTAAATGTAATTTCTTCTAGGGGGACAAAAGATTTTCCTTAAGAAACAACTTTTAGGCTGACTAGTTATGTAAAATGTAGTACTGCAGAATTTTCATCTAGACAAATGTAAACAGTTTATTACCAGTTCCTAACTTCACCACAGAAAAACCTTAAAATCATTTTTATGGAATGTCTGATTCTCAGTGGCATTTTCAGATGGCGAGTAGTTGAGTTTGAAGACAGAAAGCTGGGGCCAGAATATGGAAAGCTATGAATGCCAACCTAAGGGATTTGAACTTGTATCGAGTATTCAGTGGGAGCCACCGGAAATATTTCAGCAGAATGGAAGAGGGACCTAGTTCTCGTTCTTGCGGCACTGATGTGAGGAATGGCTTAAAGTTGGGGGAAATGAGGTGGGGGGTGTGAGGTAAGAGTTTTTTACTAGAGTGATGACCATGCATATATTTATAAATAGATGGAACTAACATTCAAAGTAGAATTGACAGGACCCAATAAGAGGCTAGATATGAAGAATAAAGAGTGTCAAGTTGCTAACCACTGAGGTTTATGGTTGGCAAGTCCCTGGCTGGAATAGGAGAAGGCAGCCACCACTGAGAAAAAGCTTACCATGGGAGAGAGGTGTGAGACAGAGCCAAAATTAGCACTCTGATCTCCTGATCCCCCAATTTTCTTTTCACTATAGCTATTGCCTCATCTGGAATTTAAGCTGGTCTGAAAGACCATAAGCCTCAGCATGCAACTTGATATGGCATAACAAAACCTTAGTTAAATTACTTCGAGGGTATTTTTTTTTTCTTAGACCTTGGTATAATTCTAGCTGTTGTGCCAACTAGCTTTGATCTTGGGCAAATAATTTTTATTCAATTTATTTCTTTTGTTAAATTTGCACAAACATATTTCTTATCTCCAAAAACAAATTTCTTTGAGAGTGGTGACATGGATAATAATATTCATCTTTTGCCATTGATTGTTTATAATACCCAAGAAGTTCCTCTGTAAAACGGTGTCAAATTAATGAATATAAATAGCAAGAACCACCTGTTAGAAACAAAATGTTGTTAAAAACACAAACAGAACCTGAACTGTTTACATTAATTTAGGCTCCCAGGGAAGCTTTCCTGCCTTTTATTAGTCCTATGACTCCTTAGGAACATGGTCTAACATTCATAAGTACCCGAGAGCCAAAGCCACATTGTACTTTAATACGAAAGAACAACATGTCCATTTCACAGGAGAGCTTTTCCCCAGGCTTTTCACCATCCTTCCTCCCAGCTTTTATGTGGCAGCAATAAAGGGCAAAGGAGACCCTGAGAAACACCCTTCAGTTTTAAGTTAACACAAAGCATGGCTTGGTTTGGTTTCTGTTCTTCACTGCAGAGAAATGCTGTACATTACATACTTACATTTTAGGCTTCCTCACCTTCCTGTGATTGATATTACCAGTATTCAGTCCTTAGTCCTGTGCAAACTACTTACAACACTTACAGGCAGCCCACAGAGAAAGGTTTTTGGACTTGTAAGATCCTCCCTTTACAGCATTCAGCTTCACTATAAACTAGAAGTTCTTGCTCCAGGAACTCTGGCCAGCATACCCCCTGTCTGGGCACCCTTAGGTTATTGGCTCCAGCGTAGGTGGGTAGGAGAGCTAAACCAACAGAAGAAAAGCAAAACTGAGAATGGATGAGAGGAGAGGTCATAAGGACAAGGGAGTATAATCCGTGACTAATAAACACTGAGATGCCTCTTCTATGTGGTTTGCAAAATGTCTTTGGAGGCAATTCCAAAAGAAAAGTTTCAAAAATGTTCTAAGTAATACTAAAGTCCCTACAGTAAGTACGTGGCTTCCCAAGAGTATGATTTTAAAAGACAGTAATCATTTGATTCTATGAGTTATGATAGATTAAAAAAACAGGTTTCATTTTTAATACAAAAAAGGACTGCTGAAGAGATGGCTATAACCCATAGAATACGAGGAAATTTGTAGGGATGTGTAGGTGGGATGGAAACATTTTTAATTTTACAGTCTAAGGACCAAATTCAGCAAAGTACCAAATTAGGTACTTCTACATCAGTCACTATTAAAAACTTTGAGGCTGCAGGACACTTCATGACAAAAGATTAAAAAAAAAAAAACAAAAAAACTGCAAACGAATAGCACATGTAATTTCACAGCAAGCCTGCCTTATGGAATATATCAGTATTTCGGTGAAACAGGATGAATGGCCTACCTTAATTTTATATACAGAAGCAGCATAGTATGAGAGTAACAAATTTTTGTAGTTCAAGAGACCTAGTTAACATCCCTCTGGTTTCAACCTTTTACAGCTGAATAACCCTCTGCAAGTCACTTAACTTCTCTGAGACTCAGTTTCCTTACCTGTAAAATGCCTAGTGAAGTGCCTGGAAAACAGAAGATATTCAATAGATAGCAGTTCCTCCATACGGTGTTTTCTTCTTTTCAAACTAAGGGTCACAACCCATTAGTAGATTATGAAATCAATATAGTAGGTTGCAACCGGCAGTATTTTAAAAACTGAAATAAAAAACATCAGAGTACACTACACATAATGGTATTCGCCATTATACATATTCTGAGTTTTGATATAAATGCATTTTTTACTGTGGGTTACAACCACAAAGTTTCAAAGTCTCTGCTCTACAGAGAAATTCTCAGATTACTGTATCAGAAAGAGTTTAGAAAAACAAAAGAGATCTTTAGAAGCACTGACTTTATTCAAATGAACCTCTACCTTCCCCCCCTCTATTCTGAACTTTTCACCCCTGTGATTTAATTTGATAACTGGAAGTTTGTACCTCTGTAAATTTTAAGAACTTAAAGTGACCCTTATCTTCTAACTTCAATCTAGTAAAAATAAGACATGAATCACAGAGAAGATAAATTTAATCTGATACCCTAGGGCATTAAATTCAGTTTAAGATTGGTTTCTCTGTCATATTAACTAATTCATATCTCTAAACACTTTACAGTTTATAGGTATATAATTTATAGTTGATTAAACACTTCTAGAAATTTCTATAAAAAGTTAGCTATTAGATTCTATTATCGGGAAATTAGATACAATTTCTGAGTGATTTTAAATTAAAACTTTTTAAAAGGACTGCAATTTGCCTGAGCATGAAGACTGCTGCAGTAATATTCCAATCCTGATGAGTAGTAAAAATCAAACTCCTATATGGGCACATACAGTGGTATCCCAAACTGGGTGATGAAAAATGCAAGATCCTCAAACAAAATGTAAGCTTCAATTACAATAGGCCTCCTCTCTCCTCCAGTTTCTGTGTAAAACTAGCCTGACAGGGTAATGAGTCCCTAGTACCATTATGATGGTGGGCTAAGGGTAAGGGGCACCTGGGTGGCACAGTCGGTTAAGCGTCCAACTCTTGGTCTCACGACTCAGGGTTGTGAGACTGAGCCCCCACATCAGGCTCTACGCTCAGTGTGGAGTCTGCTTAAGACTCCCTCTGCCCCTCTCGCTCATGCTTTCTCTTTCTAAAATAAATAAATCAACCTTTAAAAAAAAAAAATGGTGGGCTAAAAAGTGTAGCCAATTGTGGGTTGGCAGAGTGGGAATGATATGGAGCAATGAAGACTGGGCCACGTTGAAGGTGAGAATACTTGGAAATTACAGAATTCAATGATACAGCTGAATCTTGATGTAACTATACCTTAAATTTATAATTTTAGCTGACCAGGCCAGATTGGCTGCCCACTGTCAGAGTTACCTAGGGGACTGAAGTTTAGCAATCTTGTTTTAAATAAGCACCTTGGATGAGTCCTCGTTCTAGTTTGAATACCCTGTGTTAAAGGACAGCAAAGATCAGAAATTATTTAAAAAGGTGGAGTTCCAAAATAATTATCCTAACCTTACAGGTAACCAATATCAAATACTGCATCAGAATCTGACACTTATTCAAAGCACTTCCTTTTTGGCATCACACTGAAGATACAAGTCAGCAGATAGCAATACTTGATATTTTCCAGTTATTTAATGCCAGTAAGAAATGGTGCTTTCTCTTCATTAGACTTCATTGGTGAGAGCCAAAAAAGTGTGAGAGAAAGGTCTATCTATATTAGACAAAGAAGTAAAAGGTAGCAAGCAAACAATAAAAATTAAGAGTAAACTCAATGAGAGAGAAGTGATAAACCATTCAACGACGTGAGGAATCTGTTTGGCTCCTGAGCTCACACATTTTGTGGTAAAGGTGCCTATTTCTCTGCTCTCAGAAAACGGTAAAGATTAAGGCAAAAGGTGGCTCCTTCCTATTTCAGATGAACTGGGGGTACAGGATGAGGCTACCTGTTTTGGCTATTTGAGATAGACACTGGATTGGGCTGGGCCATGCTTGCTATCAATGTCAAGTGTTGGGGTTAGCACCACAAATCCTTCATCAGGATCAGTCTTGGCACCAGGCTTTGTGTATCATCTTCAATGTGAGAAAAGACGAGCAAGAATGTTTCTTAGGAAGAAGTAACAGCTGTGAAAAGTAAAGCAAAGCACAGAGACAGCAAAGCCCGGGGAAAGGATGGTAGTAACAGAAGTGAGGTAGAAAGCTAGTTCTTAGCTCCCCAAAAGGCCAGCTGAAAAGACTTAGGGTCAGATTCCCTGTGTGGCCCATACATCAGTCTCTTGAAATTTTAAGATGCCCTAAGAAATGATCTGGTGTCCCCCTGTCTTTTATTTTTTACCTCACACTAACAATGTTGGAAATATTTGGAGCTTTCTCTTCCTTTCTCTCTTTAACCTAGAGGTTACAGGAAAGGATGAACAGCGATGGGAGACAATACAAGAAAACAGATTATGAGAAAAGTCCTCATTACACATGGGTAGAATTCACCCCACAAGTCAAAGAACTTTGCAGAATTACAAGGCAGGGAAGGCAGAGGGCACTAGATCTGAGGTGTTAAGAGACAGGCTGACAGACCAAGCTTAGTGACTGGCTTAATAGTCCCCTATCACTTGAGATTCTGTGTTCTTTATTTAAAGAGACAGAAGAAAGAGTTCAGAGAAGAAGCCAGTGTCACAAATTAAAGTATCTCAAAGAGAAGTTGCACCTCTCTTTCCATTTTCTTACGCAATTAGTGTCGTTCACCAGAAAATACAGATGGACCAAACTGTAATAGGGTTCACCAAATGGACTCCATTATGTGTAGTTCACCTGCGCCCCTTACTAGATCCTGATTTCCTTATTTGATAAGAAAGGCTCCTGAACTCCCCATTCTTTTCTTTGTTAACAGGCCTAAATAACCTCCTATATTTAGGAGATAAATAAGCATATTTAGAATACACTTAGCCTTAGGGTCTCCAAGTCAGGGTTATGGAATAGACTAGTCTTCCATAATCCATCATGTCCATACATCTCCAGTCCTTATCAAAGTTATAAATTCATTTTTCACATTTCCAGGCAAAAAAATCTGCTCCTTGGCAGTCTTTAAACTTTACCTGACAACATTACACACCCTCAGCCCAGGCTCCTCAATCTCTAACATCTCCACTAACACTCCAGCAAACAAAAAGATATATCTACTTATCACAGTTCAATCCCATTTGAGCATCTACAGCCACTATCTTGATATAATCATGTTCCAAAAGCTGACTGAGTGTCCAACAGTAGCAAAGGTCCTCGTTAGGATAGACATATTGGTGCCAATAATACTGAAGTTTGGTTTTTAACTGCATTTTTTGTCAGTTTGGCTGGGAAGATCTGGACAGCTGGAAGTGAGCTTCTCCATCATTTTCTGCTTCTTCCTTTGTATCAATTTTCCACCTGTGAAGCCCAACACCCCACCACCAAGTGCAGCTGCAATTCCTGCCACTTTGAAGCCTGCAAGGAGGCCAATCGGACCCCCCACCACTCCTCCGATGAGTGCACCTGCCACAGGCAGAGCTGCCAGCTTGTATTTTGCAGCCTGTTAAAAAAAAAAAAATTCAATTTAGAAATTGAGTTGAGAATATCTGCCTGTGGTGATGTGCATTTTCCTCTCATTACTCCTGGCAATGCTTCTTTAACTCTTGGTACATAATTAACCTTAGAAATTGGGGGGTGGGGGGGAGTATTCCACAGGTACTACAATGGCTCCTCCCCATCTCAGAACTTGGAGAAATGAGCTACAAGAAGTGGACTACTACAAATTGATTTTACTTGCAAAACAATCAATCCACTGACTATATAGCAAACTTATTTAAACAGTTTCAGCTGCTATAGATACCCCCAAAGCTTTTATGTTGCATAGAGATTATCCTGTGCTGTATACCTAGGGTTAAAAGCAATATTCTATGGGAAAGAGATGTTAAGATGATTACATCTTAACATCCTTACACTCTTGCCCCTGCTGGATTCTGGCAACCCTCTCTACTTCACTCCCTGAACCTCTGCAAATATTCCCTTATGACACCAAAATGCCTTATAGCGGGGCTTTGGTATATTCCCTAAAAAAATTTCTTGCCCAACAGAATGAATCTTAGAGTAGAATATTACAACAGTCACTGATTTCTTGCACTACTATGTGTCAGTTTGTTCCTTATTTCCTTAATTGCTGGTTCCTTCCACATTAAAGAGAGCAGATCAATTGGGTTAATACTAGAGATTCCTGGGAGCCAGAGTACCATTGATTTGTCAGCAGGAGCAGAATCTTACCTTCCCCAAGTTTTTGGTTCCCTCTTCAACATTCACAGCAGCTCTGTTGACATGGTCTTCAATGCTGTCAATCTTCTCCTGCTGAGACTAGATGCAAAGGAATTATGAGTGAGCGGTCCTGCTGGGGAACAGCACTCAGCCAATACACACTATTTTAATTCCTGTAATCAGGATCCCATGTACTGCAGCCTTGCAGTCTGAATAGTGGTTCATTAATAGCGTCTGATAAACTATGTCGAAAGTACAAATTCACTTGTATAAAGAAAAAAAAGAGTGACTTAATTATTAGATAATAAAAGGGTGGCACCTTTATAGGAAAAAGCATCTCACACTAAAATTCATTCAAACATACAAACATATTATTCTCCAAATGAATCTCCTTTGTAAGAGAAGAAAAATCCAAATAAGCATTTACATGTCGTGGTGAGGTTGATGATAAAAAACAAAAACAAAATCAAACATAAAAACCTCTTTAACTGGGGTGCCTGGGTGGCTCAGTCGTTAAGCGTCTGCCTTCGGCTCAGGTCACGATCCCAGGGTCCTGGGATCGAGCCCCACATCGGGATCCCTGCTCAGCGGGAAGCCTGCTTCTCCCTCTCCCACTCCCCCTGCTTGTGTTCTCTCTCTCGCTCTCTCTGTCAAATAAATAAATAAAATCTTTTAAAAAAAAACAAGAACAAAAACCTCTTTAACTTATCTTTGAAGATTCAAAGACTTAAAACACGTAAATTTGCCGTAGAAGTAAAATGCCCTTGGATCCATAAATATAAATGATTACATTTTAAAAATGAGAATACAATACATTTTAAAAATGAGATCGGTCATGAAAACTTCACTTGTGATATGAGGTAGGGAGCAGTGAATGCATTTACTGTCCTGAGTTTCACACCTGTACACTTTAATACATTTTAAAATCATTACAAGTTAAAATGTTTCAGATCAAAGATATTAATAAAGCATTCTACAAAAAACGGCAACACCTGCACTGACACAACAGAACCTGTGACTCATGGAACCTCTGGGTAGAAGGAATGATCTTCCCCTCAGAGGTGTGAAGCCCCACTACATTTCTCACTAGTGGTTACTGAGCCTCAGCTCAAACACCTCCAATGATGGGAATTCATTACTTGCCACAGGAACACATTCCCATTTTAAATAAAATTTAGACAGAATTTACATACAATAATATGCACCCATTTTAAGGGTACAGAATGATGAATTCTGACAAATGTATAAAACTCAAGTAACCCCATCACATCAATATACAGACTAGGGTTTCTTTGTTTGTTTTTAAAGATTCATTTATTTATTTTAGAGAGAAAGAGAAAAAGAGAGAGTGCATGTGCATGTGGTGGGGAGGGGGAGAGGGACAGGAAGGAGAGAGTCTTAAGCAGACTCCATGCTGAGTGCAGAGCCCAACATGGGGCTCGAGTCCATGATCCTGAGATCATGACCTGAGCCAAAAACCAGAGTTGGACACTTAACCGACTGAGCCACCCAGGCGCCCCTAGGTTTTTCTTTTTTTTTTTTTAATTCACAGAAAAAAGGAAAGAATCCCTCTTTGATCCCAGCTAAATCCCACTTCTACAATGACTGTGAAATAATTCAACTTGAATCCTGAAGCATCTGATTGCCCTCTTAACTTACACTGAATCAGATATAACACTCTTCTAACTCCAACCATCATTCAAGAACATGAAACACAACACAGCTAATTTTTTCCCCACAGTTGCTTCCTTGAGCATTATTGACATTCCTTCCCTTCTCATACACCAAGTATGTACCTTTTCCCTGGT